GTTCGAATCCACCTAATGGGACCATGGAAGAAAAGTCCTGGCCATCTGCTTCTGTAAAGACTGTAGCCAAGAAAATACTATGAAGTTGTTCTACTCTGTAAGACACGAGGTCAGCATGGGTCAGAACTGGCTCAACAGAAAAAGGTTTTGCTGTTGTTATTGTTTGTTTGTTTATGATGGTGGTGGTGGTGGTGTGCACCTCCAAGTGGGTTTCCAACTTATTGCGACCTGTATGGGGTTTCCAAGGCTTAAATCTTGATGGAAACAGAACCCTCATCTTTCTCCTGCAGAGCAGCTGGCAGACTCGAACTACTAATCTTGTGGTTAGCGGCCCAACACTTACTCCACTATGCTACCAGTAATTATTGTTGTGTGTGTGTGTGGCATTAAATGCTATTTTATTTTACAACTAAAAGAAATCTAAAAGGCTACTTGACTCTATTAAATGTTCATATTTTTTAAGTTTATCTCAAATTTCATTCTTAAGTATCTGTTATATTTTAATTTTATGAACTCTAATGAATATATATTTTTAGATCAATCTTTTAATACCTTGCCAACATGTAGGCCAAGGACCAGCACAATTAGTATCCCCAGGGAGCTTGTTAGAAACACAAAATCTCAGGTTCCTAACCAGACCTGCTATATCAAAATCTACATTTTAATAAGGTACCCAAGTAATTTGTATAAACAGTGAAGTTTGAGAAGAACTATTTTAAGAGATCATATGCTCTCTCAAGTTAGTGTGTAGTTTGTGCTTTATATATAGAACAGTATTAAAGCACTGGGCTTTTCTAATAAATTAAATAGCATGCTTAAAGATTTTCTTCACTTAATGCATTTTACATTCTTAGATCTAGAATCACAAGTAAATAAAAAGAAAGAAATCAAACTTCTCACCCTTCCATTAAATGACTCACCCACTGAAGATTTCAGTAGTGATGGAAGGGAGAAAACCAAGAAAAATATGTGTACCTTTGCTTCCTAAAGCAACTCAAAGTCTCTTAATAAGTAAAACTTTAGACTGATAGTAACTGTGAAATTTTTAAAGTCTGTGAATTTTCCAAGGGACTGCTTCTGAAATCATTTTTCTAATAACCTTTTCTTGTACAATAAATGTGGTAATCTATTACTAATTTCTCTAGAATTTAAGTAAGATTGAATTTTTTCAGCGATATTTGCACGTCATGGAAATTTATATTGTCTCTCTACTATCTCAAAAAATGTGGGGAGGAGCAATATAATTGAGAAAATAATCAAGGACCACTGTGACTGACGCAGCACCACTGTGTTACTTCTGTTATCCCTGGAAATGGGCCACTCTAATCACTTAAAAGCTACATGCCAGAGTGGCTCTGAATGTTTTCTTTACCAAAATTTTGAGAAGAAATGAGGTAGCTTTTTAATTAACCACCCATTTTCTGATAATAGAATCCTAACTGATAACTAATACATTTAGCTTACTAAAAGAATATAGACTATAAAATGTTACAGATGATCTTTTTTTTAAACTCTCTTTAGTAAGTAAACACAGGGATCTGTTACAGTAGATGCGACTAGCAGGACAGGGGTCTTCACAGAAGGTTAAACTGAAATGTGTACTAGAACGAGTTAGATGAAATGGTCTTACCTGCTGGGTCTCTAATTGTTTCCCAGTGCAAGTCACTGTCTTTTTCCCTGATCCATCCACAAAGCCCGTGGTCAAAATTACAACTGTGTATTAGAACACCTAAAAAGAAATGACCAGGAAGATGAGTAAATCACAAATTCAAAAACTAACAACAAAGATGTATTTGTGAACCAGTGCTATCTTTACGACAAGTGTTCTCCCTGGCCCTGCTTCACTCTCCCACCAGAGCGTAGATTCTCCATGAGATCAGAGGGAAATTATGTGAATCCTTTCTCAGCACAATTGTGCATGCATGCTCAGCTGCAAAAACAGAACACACAGATGTTGCCAAATTGTGACCTTGTTATATCAGCACTTATAAATTATGATTTCCTCAGAGTTTAAGGGTTGCTTTAATAGATTTTCAAAAAAAAGAAGGGAATAATGATGATTCATAATTATTTCTGCTCCAGTGATTTAACTACAGGAGGAACCAAGGTGCTGTTAAAAAAGAGAAGACAAAACGGTGTATAATGTTCCCAGATGTAACCAGTCTATCTACAATATGAAAGCTGTTTTCATGAAATGAAGGGAAAACAATTATAATGAGGCTAAAAATATAAGCATCTACCTGGATCATCCTTTGCTTCATCATCTGCACTGACTCCTCTTTCTATTTCAAAAATTTCAAACAAGTCATTTGAAGGTTGTCGTGGAACTGCAAGAGAGAATTTTTTAAATGAGATATTGATAAGGAGGTATTACTGCAAGAGGAATCGATTAAGAGGAATCGGAAAATGGTCTAAACATTCTACTCCCCCAAAAGAGACCAAAATATTTCATTATATTTCATATGCAGATTCATGAAGTTTGCTCTTCTGCAATGATTTATACTGTAACATTTATACTGTATCATTTATTCCCCCAAAGGAACTCTGCACATTGTTACACTCAAACATATAATTCTTACCATCTAAGTAGGTTCCTTCTCTCCTTTAAGAGCAAATCCACACTTCTTTAACAGCATTCACAATGCGTCCCACCAAAACATACAACACTGTATAAACATACTACTCATTTTTACATCTCTCATCCCCCTTCCTCAGCTTGGGATGCTCTCGTTCCCTCTAATTAACCCGCCAAACTTTCCCTCTCTACTCAAGGTCCAGTGTAAATATCACTGCTAATGAAAAAACTTGGATGCTCCAGGCAGAATTAAATTCTTCCCCCTTGAACTTCAACAGCTCATGTTTGCACACGGAATTACAATCATTCATAAAGAATTACAGTTATTTACACATATATGTGCCTGTCTCTCAGCTAGTCTTGGAGGCCCCGGAGGGCATCGATCATGTCTTGTGTGTGTAGCCTTTCCATGGCTTGACCCGATACCAGAGAGGCAAAAGGTGTCTACTGAATGAATACAGAGATAGAAGCTCAAGTACTTTGTCAATACTTTGCTTCAAATAAGTGCGATAGAGTTTAAGAATTGACTTTTTGAAAGTAATTATTTAAATAATTTATTCATTCAACCAATGCACATTTGACTGCCAGCAACATGCCATACACTGTGATAAGTCCCAAGGTGATTGGGTGACTATGAACAAGATTAACAAAAGCCTGCCCCTCAAACAGCTGATATTCTAATAGGAGAGGCAGACATTAAACAAGTAGATAAATGACCATTATAATTCTAGACTGTGATACTAGCTACAGAAGAATACAAAAATACAAAATACAAAAAGCAAACAAACAACATGATTTTATAGAGAGTAACTGGGTTGGAAAGCAGGTGTGGGAATACTCTTGGTGGTGAGGGGAATTCTTGGCCAAATGCTAGGGATTCTCTTGCCAGAGTCTCAATTAATTAGGTCTATTTTTGTAAGGCAGGGAGTATGGTATGAACTTAAGAACACTAAGAAGCAGACGTCAGTCAAGCGTTCTGTTTCCAACAATGTTCCTATTATTTAAAATAAAGATTTCTTTTTTAAGTAATAATCTACAGTGTTTGTACTGGTGGCTGAATTTACTGCTTCTGGAGTCTTCCTTTTTGCTTCAAAAATCAAAACAAAAGTCACTTTCCTCTCTACAACATGCACTCACATTTGCCCAACTTGCAAAGGATGGCAGAAAGAAGCTGACCACTGCTGCCCTTCTCATATTAACAGCAATAACAACCCATTCAGTGTTTCTTTTCTCATTTGGGGCTCTGAGAGGGGGCTGTCTTATTCTTTACTAGAATGATTACAAAGGTCAGGCAAGCATGCATTGTTTCTCATGATACAAAGAAAATGATAAAAACCCTATAGAAAAATCCATGTTTATCTTTTCTTCCCTTATAATTTACACAAATTACCTCCAGAATGGAATCACTCAAATTTTGCAGTACCATATTCTAGGGGCATGATGTCAGTCTCTGCAACTCCACATTGTTCTTAGATGGACTATCAAATGGTAAACAGTCATGGTCCAGAGGGGCAGGATCATACAAAGGCTTTTCTTGCAAAAGGAGAGTGTTTCATAAAGAGAGATCAAGAAGGTCCCCTCTGAGGATCAACATTTAAAATGAGACTTGGAGAACATGGAACGTGCCAAGGAAAAAATTAAGTACTGACACGAAGAAAGATGGAGTGTTTCAGATATTTAAAAATTAGGAAGGACTTCACAGTGGCTGGAAGACACTGTGAAACGGAGAGAGTGGCATATGGTGTCATTTTAGAGTATGTAAGGGTCTAGATTACATATTTGAGGAAAACAGCAAACAAAACAATTGGCTATCTAACAAGTTGCGAACCTCATATGGTCCATATGTATGTTGTAGGCATTTGCAGCTCATGATCATGCATATCTACAATTTGCTGAAGAAAAAGTCAAGGGAGATTAGAGATCTGAAATGCTCAGGAACTATATGATTTCTTTCCATTTTGTGTGCTCTACTTTGTAACCCTTTCTGCTCCCTAGAAGATTTAAAGCCTGAGAAACATATACATGGTCACTATGAGTCAGAACTGGCTGGATAGCACTACTAACAACAACAGCAACAACTTTGTAACCCTGTCAAATTATTTAACTATATCTCCTTCCTCACCCATACCAGAATGAATTGCTCAGTGTATATCACTCTCAAGAAAAGGCATACTACACTGGTATATTATTTGCTATCTGGCTTAGGTGAAAATGCTACATGAAATGAGTAGTGGGCAAAATTATTGACACAGTAGGGTCTCAATTATTTACAAAACAAACAAATAACCAAAAAATGAGCTAGAAAAAAACGCAAAAAAGAAATATACCAGCGGTACCTCTGAGAACTGGAAATGAAAGTGATGTTTCCTCAGTCACTAGTTTGATTTGTCTTTTGTTATTCTATATTTTAAAGATTGCCTATAGGATGAAAGGATTTCAATTGGGGGCGGGGAAGGAGAATCTTACTTAAAAATCACCTAAAAAAAGAAAAAGAGCTTTTTGTTACAGCACATAGACTTAGCCCCACTCCATGGTTGTTATTGTTGTTAAGTGCCATCGAGTCAATATAGCAAATTGTTATTTGTTATTGTGATTGCTCAAAGAGAACAGAATCTTAATTAACCAACCAAGCCCACTGCCATAGAGTTAGAACTCATAGTGACCCTATAGGACAGTCTACAACTGCTCTATAAGGTTTTCAAAACTGTAAATCTCTATGGAAGCACACTACCACATCTTTCTCCCCAGGAGTGACTGGTGGGTTTGAACTGCCAACCAGTCAGTCACCTAGAAAACAAGCACTTCAGCCATGGTGCCACCAAAGCGCCTTGATACCTAGTGTTAAATTCAAGATTACTAAACTGAAATGTATTTGTGAAATGCAAACATTGTCTTTGATGTAATGAGGCAATTTAAATCAATGTTGTTGTTGTTTCCATGTGCCATTGACAACTCGTAGTAGGAACCCTACATGTAACAGAATGAAACACTATCTGGTCCTGCATCGTCCCCACAACTGTTGGTTGCAATGTTTGAGTCCACTGTTGTAGCCAACCCATTTTGGTGAGGGTCTTCTTTTTCACTGAGCCTCTCCTGTACCAAGCATGATGTTCTTCTTCAGGACTGTTCCCTTCATGTTATGTAAAAGAAATAACGAAACTTGATTGGAAATAGAAATATAACCAGGATACTGATATTATACTGGTTCTAATTATTCTTCCTGCTTCATAGTTCAGCTACCATTCAATATGAGAATATCACATATTTAACAAAAACAAATGATATTCTCTGTAGTTGGGCCACGGATTCTTTAGAATGATAATTTTAAATAATTAAAAAGGATTAAAAGAATTGACAACAATACAATTCTCCCATCATTTATCCATCCAGTCAGCTAGCCTCCTTCCCTCCCACCCAGCTACTCATTTATACAATTAATCAAGAAATAATTAATGAGTATCAGCTGGGCATGAGGCCTAGGATATGCTTGTTTTGAAACAATGAACAGACATACTCTTACCTTCATGGAACCTACAGTCTAGAGGTGAAGAAGAAAAAAAAAAACTAATGATGTCCTTGGTAGTAAATCCTTTAAAGAAAAGTAGAATATGATATCTAAGTATAGGGACTGGGGGAGGAGGGAATAGCTAAACTAATTTGAGAAGGACAGATGTCAGGAAAATCTCTGAGACATGATACTAGTACATAAAGGATGAGTTGCTGTGAACTAGGGCCCTAAAGAATGAAAGAGTGTGGAACAAATAAATTAGTATAAATGGAGAGCTTATGGGGGGAGGGGCAGGGTACATGAAAAAAAAAAAAAAAAAAAAAAACACCAAATGAAACTGGAGATGTAGGCAGCCTCTGCATGGTCTTTTAAAACTCTGTAGATGTTTTGGGCTTTATCCTGGTAGAAACTGGAAGCCTCTGAATAATTTTAACATAGTGCCAAAATCACCCTTTCAGTCTGTAGAAAGGAGAATGAACAGGAAGGAGGTGGGAGTGAGTGTCATAGGCCACTTATGGCCAAAATTAAAATAAAGTAGAGAATGTTAAAAACTCTAAAAGAATTTAAAATAAAGCTCTTGAAAAGATTTGTTTCCTATGAAATGTTCTTCCATTGGTCAATGTTTTACCCACTAAAAAATAATTCTTGCCCATTGCTTTGTAAAATCTTCTGCATAAACTGAAAATAATAGTAGGGATATATTGTTACAGTTGCTGAAGCAAACAGACAAATAGAAATGTGGTTGGAATGGGGTTAGGGACATTGTATTCTTTCATAATGGCTATGGAGCTCTGGGGCCAAAGGAAAAAAATCAGCCACACAAAATACACAGAAAATTTCTTAGAAGAAACTCTAGCTCCAAACTTGCTATTATATACATGCTTCTAGTGATGAAATAATATCAATATATAACCTGTATTGATAAATGAGGCTTCCCAAATTAAAAACTGCATTTTCACTCCAAATGTGTTCAGAATAAGCACCGAGACGTAAATGTAAATATTATCATACATCTCTTCCTCTGCCAGACTTCTTACAAAGAACTATGGCAAAATGTAAGCACTATTTATTAAAGGTAGGTTTGCAAGTTCTATGCTACAGTGACTTGCTTGATATTGTCCAGACTTGTTCTGGCATTTGTTGTCAGACTAAAAACATTAAAGATAAAAGTATCTTAAATTAGGGGTTTAGTTCATTGAAGAAAATGGTACATGACTTTCCTACTATTTCGAAGGCTCTTTCTG